CTGCTAGGTCACTAAAAATGAATAGTTGTATCAAAAAAGAATGTGCCAATACTTATGAAAACAGTTAAATCTGATAAATATTCCTGCTTTGAAAGGTGTTCCTGGTCGAACTTAATAATAATTCGTGCAAACATAAATACATTATTGCCAACTTGTCAGAGAAAGCAATTATTAAAAAAATGTAACTTAAAATTTAAATTGAATGATTTAAAGTTTAATTTATATTAATATATTTATTTTATACCTCCTGAATTTGTGTTGCAAGACACAAAGTCACCTGGTGGTGCTTCCATAGTGGGTTCGGTGTGATTCTCCACTGCCCCCCTCAGGTCTTTGTAAAAAATGGTTTCTGTGGAGTTTTTGTACAGACTCTCAGATTACTTGAAACACTGTGACTCTTTGGCACAGTAATACATTGCAGAGTCCTCTGGCTTTAGGTTTGATAGTCTCAGATAGGTCATGCTGTTGCTGTTATCTTTGGTGATTTCTATTCGTCCTCGCAGACTGCTTGAATAGTCAGTTCCACTGCCAGAGCTATAAACGCGCCCCAACCATTCCAACGCTTTTCCTGCAGGTTGTCGATTCCAGTGCATACTGCAGCAACTAAATGTAAAGCCAGATCCCCTGCAGGAAAGACTCAGAGTCTCCCCGGGTCTTTTCACGACTGGACTAGAAGGAATGGATTCCATACTCTGACCTGTGACACCTGATGAGATTTAAGAATTTAAGAGTCTAAAAACAAACTGAGACAGTTATCTGGCATGTATTATGGATCACAGCTTGAATGTGATATAATAATGTCTTATAGAGACAAAGCAAAAAGCAAAACTTACTGGGCAGAAAATGAGCAACCAGCAGCAGAGTGACTAGATTCATCATTTTGAGGCTGGAGATGTGACGTCTCATGCTGCACATAAAATACAAGACAAGTCAGAATTATAGAAGTACTCTGCACAGACTAAAGATTTGCATCAGAATATCACTGGGTGGGAGTGGAAAATAGCCCAGTAGAGCCAGTCACTCAGACGTTTTGAAAAAATTGCATTTTCATATTTTCATTTTGTAATCTAAAGACTTAAAATTATGTTGTTGTTAACTCAAGCTGCTCTATTTAAATTCATTTAATAAAAAGCACTGTCTCTATATCCACTATCAGTGCCTTAAAACACACGATTGCCTTTGCAACACTTCAGTATTTAATTTTTTTAATAAGTTATTGATATTTTCAAAGGAAAAATAGCATTTGTTATAATGATCTTATCTTCAAAAAATAGCACTTACCACTGTCATTAAACTTTTGATGTACTGATAGAAAAGAGAGGAGCAACCATCAGGACCTTCTTATATTTCTTTAAGTCATTTTTATGGCTTTAAATCTGATGACAAGCACTGTCCTGAGAGAACGATCATCTGCAAATATATCACATAAGTTATGAATATCAAACTGATATGATCGTGTTACATAAAATGGATGTAACAACATTTTTGTGTGTGTTTTATTTGTTTGTTTAATTATTTAGTTTTGTTTTGTTTTTCAGCTACAGTTTGAAACTTTGTGATTAGATTTAGCAAAAGATCCTGGCTTGGGTTAAGATACACCATTTTATTGTACTACCTGGGATGTTAGCTTGAAGTGGGACATAATGTTTTAAAGTGTGATACGAAGTGGACTTGACCGAAGATATAAAAAGGTCAGTTTTCTAGATGACTCCTCATCATGGAGAAATGAATTCTTATACACCTCTGTAAAACAGAGTAAGATCATCACTTTTCAAGTATCAAAAAAGTTAATTTGATTATTTCGTTTGCTTGTCTGTTTGTTTTTTTCATAGTTTTTTCATAGTTTTTTCATAGTTTTTTTCAGTGTTTATCCCAATAAACTACAGAAAAAAAATATGATGAAATTAATGTTCCTCCTGGCAGACCGTGCTTTGAAAGCAGAATGCTGTTTTTTGGTACTTATGAATAAAAACAAAATAACACAAAATCTCAGTGAGGCTGACCAGTACCTACATTTGTAATGCTGTTATGATTTAGATCATTGAAATGTTTCAGGAAAATGTAATTACTCTTACAGTTACAAACAAGTAAAATAAAGAGTTCTTAACTTCGGTTTGGTCGGGGCAAACAAACAGCAAACAAGGATGATTTTATTGATTTTATATACCAAGTTATATTTTGTTGCCACTAAATTGCAGATCAAAGTCAGTTATTTTAATATCACAATATTATAGATTAAAATTAGATCAAGATCAAGGTCATCTTGAGCATGGACATTCAGTTTGATCAAAAATACTAATTATTGGCAATTTTATCAATGTCTTGAATGTCTTGAAATCATTAATGGACTGACAGCGCCTCCTCTGGCGGCTTCATGTTACAAATGTTAGGGCTTCACTATGTTTTTGTTCAGGTTTGCTGATGGTTTGTGTTACTGTGGGTGTTTCGCACAGTAATACACAGCCGTGTCCTCAGGCTGCACATTTTGTCCATTTAGAGTCACTGTGTTGCTGGAAGAGTCCAAGTTGATACTGAACTTGTTCTTTAGTGAATCTTTGTAGAGTGTGCTGTATCCAACACGTGCACTTTGAATAAATTCCAGTTCTTTCCCTGCAGGCTGTCTGATCCAAGCTGTGTGATGGTTACCAACAGAATAAGAGACCCGACATGTGATGGTCAGACTCTGACCTGGCTGGACAGTCACAGTGTCTGGCTGAAATAGCTGTTCGCACTTCACACCTGATAAAAACAACAACAACAAAAGAAAATTGTTACAATCTTTCAACATTCACAGAAAAAGAAAAACTGATGACAGTGATAAATCCACAGAGACTCACTTCCAGCTGCCAACAACAGGAGCAGAGCTACAGAAAACATGATTTATGTCCAGCGTGGCGTGTCGTGAATGGCCTGATGTCAGTGGTGAGGTTTTTATAGCTGATAATTTTGCATGGCATTAAAGATACAAAGGATCAGTGTTAGTCAAGCTAAAACCTCAAATTCAAAACAGTTTTGAGACCTATTTTTAAGGACTGATTCCTCAGATGCTTTATATCCTTCCTGGATAGGAAGAGGGTCTGAAAACTCGCTAAATATAGCGACAAAGTTGCTAAGTTGCCAACACTGCTTAAAGACTGGATAGCTAGCAACTTGACCAAGTCCTTATAGAGAAAGTAAAGATTACAATGCAGTTCAAACATTTTCTGTTCCATCTTTTCACTGTTTGAATCATTTGAGACATGTTAGAAACTGTCTGTAAAGTATAAAAAACTAAGAAAAATAAAAATAAGAAAAAAGATTCTACTGAAACAAAAAAAAAAATGAGTGGATCGATGAGTGCTGATCATTTCTTTCTCTGACATTAAAAATCTGTTCATTTCTGCTAAATCTCTTGAATGGTTGGCAATTTGTAACCAGTGATTTCCCTATACATGAACATTTAAAATTCTCTAATGTTTAGTACTATCTAAACCTAGTATCTGTATCATAGTATCTGTATAACAATATGTAACAGTAATATTATGTTCATATTTAACTATGTATATGTATATATATATATATATAGGAACACGAGAAGCTGGAGAAATACCAAGGGCTCAGAGAAGAGCTCGAGAGGATGTGGAGGGTGAAGGTAACGGTGGTCCCCGTGGTAATCGGAGC